AAAGTTTGAACAACTGAGATTAGGACAATATGAGACAACAAAAACAAAGAGATACGGACGTCTGGGTACATTTTTCTGGGCAACACGAGCCCGAAGAAGGACCCCGGTTAACAGAGGATTAACCCTTAAAAACAATCGCCTGTTGCATATCATACATGATGCATAAATTCCATTCAAACACAGGATTCTGTCTGGTCACTGTCAACTTCTTCCTCTTAATCCTCGTGCAGGTTTCCTGTCTGAGCGAGGTGGGAAGAAGTTAGTTTTCTGCTGATAAGGGAGCAATAAATTCCCTTTCTCTGAAAGATTTAGGTGTCCTGTGGCATCTATCTGGTGCAAGTCCTTTCTTAAACAAATATCTTACATAGCATAGTTTCTATTTTAACATTATGTTATAACCTAAACCAGTATTTAATAGTTAATTTAATACTTATTCTGCCTTCTGGTGGTCGTGGGATGAAGGCTTAGTCTTCCTTAGTCTTCCTCTTTGTGAACGCTGGGTGAACTTATGCCTTATAAGGCATATCTATACAGAACACTACACACTTTCTGCAAGCTAAGCAATTCTTGCGAGTTTAAGGATTGCCATTACATCTGCTTTTCATTACTTTCCTTTCATAAGGCGTACCTTTACAATGGAATTCCCAAAGTGCTATAGTAAACCAGCAACCATCTGCACAAGAAGTTTTTAGCTATTTAACTATTGTTTTATATTGTATAGTTATTTAGCTATTGATTTAATTAATGAACAAATGTATTATTACTTATTACAGTTTTGGTTTTGAATTTTTTAAAGAGCACTCTGTTTTGGCAGAGAGGACAAAGCAAGAATTAATTTTTATTCCTTACTAAGCACAGGGACATTTAAAACGCTTCACAATTGGAATGCAGGTCAGTAGCAGAATGCATCTTCCCAGGAGGAGGCAAAGCTGGTCTTTATTATGAAGTCAGTAGTTTTATGGTCTCCTTCTGCCTGGGGCCTGTCTCCAGGTTTTCAAAAACTTTGTTACTACTTTATATATTTATAACTCAGAAGACTAAAAGCAATTTTATGAAGCAACTTATTTTTAAATAAAATCCTGGTTTATTATAATTCAAATTCCTCAAGCATGTTAAAGAGATTTTAGTTGGAGGGTGGGGTTTTTTTTTGAAAGACAAAACTGCAGCATTCTAAACCACTGCAACACAATATAAAGCAACAATTCTCTTGCATCATGCCTCTGCTGCTTCACTTCAGGAAAGAAAGGCACAATACTTCCAGGAAAATTATTAATGGAAGTATCATATCAAGACTTTCTGCTTTTAGTAAGTTAATTTTACATATAGTGTAATTCCTTTAGATTTGACATGAAAAATCTAAACTTTTCATAATTTAAACGTGACATGTTTGTCACCACAATGCAATCCATAGTTCTTAAGCAAGATCAAGAACCGCCATAGCTTTTAAGGTAAAAGCCTGAAAGATTACACTAGCAGTTAATTAAATTAAGATGCTAAGATACATTTACCTTTCAAAGCTAGATTTATTGATAAGTTATTAAACATAAACTCCAATCATACCAAATAGATGATAGATGAAAAGCAGTTCCAGTGAGGAAAATAGAAGAACTTGAGTTTTCAAACATTTTAAATTAATGTACTAGCTGCCATTTTTGTGGCAAAAGAAACTCTCTCCTGTAAGTGATAAGGGGTTTTATTCAGCTAAAACACACAAATAAAAAGTCTCAACATGAGAGGAGAAATACCACCAGTTCATATTAGACACAAGGGAACAAAATCCTTAGGACTAAATTCCTTTAATCCATTTTCTTGTCACAAACTTTTGTGTACCTCTTCATGGCAATTCCAATTGCAACACCATTGCTTTCAAACTGCAAATAAAAGATAGCATGATAAATGGGATGTTAAAAAAGGACTTCACACCCAGAACAGTAACAGCTGGTAATGAAAATGACTTATAGAAGCAGGGCCAGTGATCTATGAAATCTGCAGCAAAAACCAAAGTGGTGGTGTCTCTTTAGATTTACAAAGAATTATGACTTCAGGAGGGGAATGAGGGCAGAGTCAAGATATATAAATCTTTGCATTTTGATAGAAGAGATAAATAATAAATGCACAATTTAGATGCACTAAACATTTTCCCCCATTACAAGAGGCAGAGGTGGCTAAAGAGTGCATTTTGGGGTTTTTTAAATTCTGCTTCATGTATCTGGTGTAATGTACCAATTATTCAACTTTTTTCTTCTCTTTTTTATTCTCAGAAACAATAGCCAGTCATTAAAAAAAAAAACAAGAAACTAAGCTGTTTCAGAAAACAGGTGCAATTCCTATCTTTCCAAGACCTACCAGAAGCTGTTTTGAAGTAACTATTTCTATCTAGCTCAGTACCAGCAACTCCCTTTCATAAGAAAATAGCCACAAAAATGTCTAAAAACATGCAACCATTTACTCTTTTGCTGTGCTCCCGCTTAACTATAGCTGGGTACTTTATCTGCAGTTTCCCTGGTTAGCTAAATGCATTAATCTTACTTTATAAATTCCAGATTCATCCTCCTGATCTCTTTTCGTGGCTGAAGGTGCCTGTGGATTTCCATTGCTGCCTCCTCGACCTTGTTCTGTGGCTATTGTTTCTTGCACAGCTTTCTTGGGCCACACATGCTTAATTAAAGGTGCAATAATGGGATAGATATACGGTTCCAGGAATTTCTTGTAGACCCAGAGGAGGACTGGAATGACAATGCAAGGAATGCACACCATAGCTTCCTCTTGTTCTGAGACAAAGCTGGTGAGGAAGAAAACAAAAAATAACTTAGGATGACTGTTTGTATGCCATGAGCTAAAAAAAAGTGTCTTTAAATAATGAAGAAAGATTTTAGTTGATGTTCAGACATAAAAGATTCTTAAATTATAGACTAGCTGTTAATGTTTCAAAAATGCTGTGTGTTTCAATTTTATAAAGTTCTCAACAAGGAAAACATTCTTGATATTTTAACAAAAAAGGAGCTTGCTATTAATTCATCAGTCCTACAGCTGCAACTCTGAAAAACAAATTCAGAAAATAAAGGTTTTTGCTTAAACCACACAAAAACAGTTTAAGCAGCAAGCTGCAGATATTAGCCCAGTTCTTACTATATTATAACAGTGGGTCCAAAAGGTTTGCTTTTCATATTCCCTTTTTATTTAAGGTGAAATTAAACAGCAGGACTCCAATCTACCCAATGGCTGGCTATCACTGAAGGGCAAGTCAGTGGGAGGGGAAGAGAATCCTAGTCAAGATTTGAGAGAAGCAAAATATGGGTTACTTCCTCCTGTGCAAGAGCAATCACTTGATTCCACACCAATCCCATACAACTGGCCAAACTATTAGAAAATTAATCCTTCCCTCTCTCCCCAAACCAGGAGGAACTCTTCAAAAACAGGAGCCTGAAGTCTGCGATGGAAAAAAAAGGGGAAAACCAAAGCACAGGGGCAGAAAAGTTCAACTGTGAGAGGAAGCAGTTAAGTAGGATTAGAGCTGTCCCTCTCAGTGCTGATGAGCAATATATATTGCATTATATAATATATATATATCACTGCTGAGAAATATATACACTCTGCTGCACAGCAGCAACTTTGCCCTTTACACTCCTCCTTTCTAGGCTGCTATCTGAATTCTTACATTAAGAAGCAAAACAAAAGCTTTCCAAGATTGAGAATGAAGAGACAGATGTGCACACTTCATCTGGGACCAGTTTCACTTTTTTTTTTTGAGCTATCCTAAAGATTTTTAGCCCTGTGGAAGAACAAAATATCAATTTTCAGTTGACTACTTCCAAGTGTAGCTTTGGCTGCTTCAAATATAGTTTTACAGGATCTACTTTATGAAGTCAGAGAGAAATCTTCAGTCAAAAGAACACAAATGAGTTAATCCTTTAAAACCATTCAAAAAGATAATTCAGATACTTTCTCTGCCAGAACTTCCTAGATACAAAATTTACAGCAATATCTTGTGAATTTGTCCACTAGCTAAAGAACGTGGCTGGAGGGAACACCCCAGGCTGGCCTTCTGAGCCAACTGTACGTGTCTCTGCAGCCAGTTTCTGTGAAGATTTCAGACCAAAAAATAAGTCGTACCTCTGCCAGATGTAAAAGCAAGCCATTGGAAATATAACACCTGTCCTAATAGAGTGAAATACCGTTTACAAGTTTCTTCTGTGATTCGGTGATGCTCTGTTCCTTGGTTAGTAAGAAAAACAAACGCACAAAAAAAAAAACAACAACAAAAAAAAAAAACAACAAAAAAAAAAAAAAAAAAAAAAAAAACCCACAAAACAAAAAAACCCGCGGCGGCGTTTCCCCCTCCCGCTGAAATAAAGGCGGGAGCACAAATATTTTTCCGAATCGGTGAAGTTCCACTCAAACACGCGTTGAAACCTAAGAGCTCCACACCTTAACATGGGCTATCACATTTCGGGGTTCACTCCGTCCGCTCCCGGTTAACGGAGCCTCTCCGAGCCCATAGAAGGGCAGCCCCCAGCCGGGATAGAGAAGCGGCAGATCAGGAAAGGACCCTGGGGGAGGCCGCCCCACACTCACCTTCGTCGGCACCAATCCAGCGCGTCTACCGACAGTTGCAACCTCCTCTACCACACCGGAAGTAATCCCCACGCTTCCAACTCACTCGCGGCCAATAGAAGGCTGTGTTCGCGTCATGTGGCCGACGCCCCGCCCCCAGGAGCCGCATTAGCGCCCGGCTGTGGCCGCCAGCCACCGCGTTCCGGCCGCAGCCACCATCAGGCGCCCCGAACGGGCCAGAACAGCGGGGCAAGAAAAGTGAATGCCTGCGTGTGTTCCAAATTATCTCGCTTTATATATGAATAATAGCGCTAAGTCAACAGCATTCCCAGCGTTGCAACAACAAGCATCCCGACTACCGTGCTTACTGCCTGTGGCTGTCCCACAGCAACACCCTGCTGAAGCCAAAGCAGAGAAACACACAGGATAAATCTAAACTTTCTCATTTTATTTATGTACATCTGGCAGAGCAGATTTAATCCCGAGCCATTAGCTTTTGCTTCTTCAGCTTCTTCTGGGATATCTGAAAAACAAACACAGAAATGAGAAAATGGAAAAATGAGAAAATACCTTCTCAAAACATGTTACAAATAAATTTACAGTTATCTTTGGAAGGTACTGAGAACTGTTAGAAATTTGTTTACATGTTTACAAAATGATCCACTGGTCATACTTGTATGTACATAAGTGTCCCTACAAGTGTCCCTACATTGCTTACAGGCTTGCAATTTAAATTTTATTGCAGCACATCCCAGTTTCACAGACATGGACTGAGGAAGGGAAGAACAAACTCCCTGTACTATATAAACCCCTGAAAATAATTTTCTGAAGTTATCTATGTGGTGTTCACAATAAATATTGAGGTTGCTCAGAAAGAAATTATTAGGTTTTTTCATAGATATTCCAAAGGTGTCCTAAGATAGTCATCACAGCAACCCTTCTGCCTGAAAAATGCCAAGTATGAACACTCAGCTCTCCTGCTGCTGACATTAAAGAGGACTTAAGGGTATGATGCTCTACCTTTTTCTTCTGAGCAACTTCCTCCTCTGGCTTGGGAACAATCTGCTCCTTCTCAGTGAGGATCATCTCGATGTGGCAGGGGGAGCTCATGTAGGGGTTGATCCTACCATGTGCTCTGTAGGTGCGTCGGCGCATTTTGGGAGCCTTGTTGACCTGGATGTGCTCAATGACCAGAGAATCCACATCAAGACCCTAGCAGGGAGAGGAATAAAACTTGTGACTTGTTTTATATCTTCAAATAAATAGTCTCCACAGCAAAATTGTGAATAATCACCCCCCCCCCCCAACNNNNCAAATAAATAGTCTCCACAACCAAAATTTTAAAAAATCCCCCCCCCCCCCCAACACATACCACTGCTGGCAAATAAAACAGCCAAATTTTGCAGTGTCACAGAACTGAGCGAGCTCCAAAGTCAGAAAAACAGAGACCTCCCCTCTACACATCACAATTTATTTAAAATTATGCCAATGGCTCAGAAAGAGACAATTATTATTTCACGGTTACTCCAAAGGTGTCCTAAGACAGTCACCACTGCCATCAAAATTACTAAATTAAGCACTAAGTATATTACAAAGATACAAACTGACCAAGAGTTCACATTTTGCTTTGTTTTGTAGTTTTTAGGAGACCTAAACACCACTTAAACAGTTGATAACCACATGTAAACTATCTCCCTGTGAAAAATTATTACTCCTATTTTAACTTGAAAAACACACACAGCCTAATTCAAACAAAGAGTATACCAACACCTTGATACAATTCAGTTTCATTGACAAAGCAGGCATTACCTGGCTTTTCATGTCAGAGACACCCAGTTCAGGAGTGCTGACACACAGCACGACATGAACACTTTGCATTCAGTAATACTGACACAGCCTACCTTGAGCTCAGCATTGCTCTCTGCATTTTTGAGCATGTGCAGCAAAAACTCTGCACTCTTCTTGGGCCAGCGTCCCTGCGTCCAGCCCCACTGCTTGGCCTGGAAGAAGACAACAATAATTCCATTTTTGTCCCAGTACAATACAATTTACCCTTCAGGCACCATTAACTTGCCATTACATCCCCTTCTATTAAGATTGCATAACAAAACAATTAAATTTGATCAATTACTTGACACTGCAAGTAGATGCAACGCTGTACTGGAATTAAAAGTAACTCTTTTCTCCCTCTTGAGCAACCTACTCTAATGGAAGGTGTCCCTGCCCATGGTAGGGGGGCTGGAATTAGATGATCTTTAAGGTCCCTTCCAACCCAAAACATCCTTTGATTCTATATTTTAATACAAAGTTATAATCAACAATGACACACTATTCTCCATACCATCTCAAATTCATCTTTTCCTCTTAACCAGAGACAGCATCCTTCTCACATTTTCATCTTGAACCTCACCTGGGCATATCTACCAACTCCCCCATTGTAGCGCTGGAAGGGAACACATTGCTTCTTCAAGGTGATGTCCTTTAAGTACTTGGTGGCTTTGCGGATGTGCATGCCCTTGATGGTTTGGGCAGTCTCTCGAGTGTTCTAGCAATACAGAGCACAGTGAAGTTGTTAACACACGTGTACAAGTTACAATGTGAGCAAAACCACTCCTCTGTCCTGGATCCTATTTTTTTTGCTACAAACTCAATTTAAAGGAAGCACTCACACACATAAAAAAGCCCCACACCTAAATTAAGAATAAAGAATAACTAAGAACACTTTTTTTTTTTTTTGCTACCTGTTGGGAAGGATGAAAGTTTGACAAGAAAGTTTCACAGATATGGATGCTTGGCAGAAAGATTTTTGAATGTAGAATCTGAAGAAGGAATAGAAATGAATGTACTTTTAGTGATTGGAGAATAGTAACATGAATATGGTAATTATAGTAGTTATGATAGGCTATAGGTAAAAGTTAAGGTATAGATTGGTTCTTCTGTATTAAGATGCTCAGCAAAGAAAAGTATATAATGCATTGTAACCAAAACGAAGCGTCTCCAGGCCTGCCTGCTGCTGCAGCTGACAGCTGTAGGCACAGGCTCTGTCGCCCACAACCCTGGACTGCTGTTACGTCTTGGATGTAATAAACTGCATTTTGAAGAGCTGCCTGGAGTCCCGCATCTCTCACTTAGGCTCTTACAGCTACCTACTTTTTTAACCCTTGGTGTGACTGCAATTACTGAATTTCCAGCTCTAACACATCTTTATTGTTTTTTACCTAATGCCTAGATCTTTCCAACCAACAAATAATTTGAGTAGTTATACTTTTCATAGCTCCTCCTTGGTCACTAATCCAAAGAACCAGGAGCCTGAAGGATAAATTCCTACTAAAATGTCAGATATGGCACCTCAGAGGAAGTGATGAGAATACAAGATAGAAACAATCTCAATATCTCTGTAAGTGAATTATAAAGGGGAGAAAAGAAAGAAAAATTAAAGCTAAAGTATTAGTGCTTAAGACATTAAATGCAGGTCAGAAAGTGTTATGAATAAAAAATTACCTATT